CGTATGATATATCCATTGTAATAAAGAACATCCGGTTTTGACAACCAATGAAGTAACGTTAAAAACTAATCGATTTTCGCTATTATTTTCCGCATGTGGTATAGATTCTGCTTTTTCGTACGTTTTTATGTGATGTGTCATTCGCAGTACTTCTGGTATGGACTATATTCCTGAACACACATCTAATCTTTTTCATATCAAGTTCATATTTCAAATAGAGATAAATAATTATGTTGTTTAAACGATTATAGTTGAAATCATGAAACAATTAAATAATGTTTTTTGAGTTCTAGCATTGTTACGTCGATGAAATTTGGATTGTTGAGATTATATATCCTGATATTTCGACCTAAATTAAGTTCAAGGTGGTCACATGCTGTAGACTATAGCTGCAGTTTCGTTAGTTTAAATAATGTAGCATACTTCTTATTACATGTTCTGAATTTGACACTATCAGATTTTAGTTGTGTGGGGTTATATAAAGATATGTAGAAATTGTTTTATGGTCAACGATCGAATCCAACTTCGAACGAGCTCTAAATTCTTGTAAATTCCAAGAAAATGTTTCAAATTATATTGGGATTTTAATTTCCGATAAAAATAAGACTCTTCTTAAACTTTAAGTAACATAACTTGACATAATAATGAGCTTATTTTGAGATATGCTGCAGTTTTTTTAACAGTTAAGTTCTGTATTTATTGGACTAATCAAATATGGCGTGTTCCATACAAGATATTTGATTTTTTTTGCAATGAATATATAGTAGTTACATTTTAGAACAGCCTGTATAAGATAAATCGATGTTAGTAATGACGTTCCATTTGCAAATATCTGGAACTTTTTAGTAGAGAATCAGAATATAAAATAAAAACAATACAATTTTAAAACGTCGAAGTTGTAGTTTACTTCCAGTATCTTGAAAATCGGTTAGATTGAAAGGTCAGGATGTAAAATCCCTACAATATGAATTTTAAAGACTTGGCAGTGATCCAAAGAACACAAAATGTTCTAGGTACCAGTTACTTATATGTATTTAAATAATACTGTGTATAACATTGGTAAACAGAGTTATTGTTGCATGGCTCGCTGATTTTAAATTTCAAGTTCTAAATTGATCATAACAAGTGAGCATGTCGAATTATGACGTCTCCTACGTTATATGTGTTGGATTGGGGTAATACTGCTTTTAAAATAATTATTAAACAAAGATCGATTAAAAATGTTCAAGAAAGTTACTGAGAATAATTGCTCTTAAAAGTAGAATCAAGGAATCTAAAAAGAAAGAAGAAGAATATGAACGAGCGACCAAAAATCGCAAGCAGAGGGAAGGCACGGGAAGTACTGCACCAGCCCGGTTTTATCTCCCTCCTTTATGTTTCAAGTGTGATGGAGCGTATTCCGAGGTGCCTGAAGAAGAACGATATGGTATGATACGGCGAGATCAGCAAAATTCGGCACGCTTTTCCAGTAGCTAAAGACAAACTAACCGTATTAAACGGAGCAGGAGTTTATTGGTTATCATTAGGGCTCGGATTTTATGCAAAATGCATCTTCTTTATTTTCTGGAATATTTACATAAAAATAAGGCAGATGGTACAATAAAAAAATTGCATATTTTGCATATTTTTACAATTTTTTTGATTGGCCTTTTACTGCATATTTTCGCATATTTTGTCATTTTACTAGATTTGTTTCTTGTTGCTTAATAAAATAAATATAATGACTGCGTGATTTTTAAATATGCGAACATACCTTTTAGTTTAAAGCACAATACAGGATATTTTTTAATTGCGGTTTGGTTTCTTGTCTACAACGATTCACAGAAACATGCGGGGAATCCCTAGCGCTATTGAGTTTAAGTTTAAGGAAATCCCCAACCATAGTTACTGTGGCTGTGTTCAGTGTGAGTGAACATTAATCTACCAATCTATAACAACAATGCCTAAAGTGATATCGTGTCTTGTGTCCCAGTGGATAAAAAGTTATCCCGACCTAAATTTAAATAATGAAGAATTATTTTGTAAAACTTGGGCAATGAAGTTGTAAGTATTTTTTTAAAAATTATGTCGTAGCGTTTTAGCCAAAGATTTAAGTTAAAAATTAGAGTTTTCAGAGGAGTTGCTAATGGTTTGTTCCGAAATTGTATTTCTCATAGACTTTTACACTAGCAGTTAAAAAAAAATGGAGAACTGTTAAATTAAAACTAAATAAAACAATATTAAATTTGATGTTCCATCTTCTTGGAATATGTTTTCACATATGTTTTTAGACAATCGACAATAAAAAATACGAATCTGTTTGATAGTCTCAGAATTAAATTTTCATCTGTTAGAGTATCTATGGCTAACTTTTTTAATTATTCTTTTTTAAGATAACGTGTGAGAGGAAGAAAATAAATAGAACAATATGTGAAAAATGCAAAACATATATAAAAATGTGATAGAAATAGATTGATAACAACTATAAGAAAGGTATATGTTTGCATATTTCCACATATTTTTGCTTATTTTTTGCAAATTTTGAATAAAAAGCTTGTATATTTAGGCGCATATTTCCTATAATTTGGCTGCATAAAAATACGAGCTCTAGTTATCATAGTATTGCGGGAAGTATTACGTTGGCCAAATTGCACGTAACATCGAGAAACACAACGATATAAAGCAGTCGCAGAGCATTGCCATAAAGAGAGACACACCATACATATCCATCTATTATTTCCAAAGGAAAGAACAGCTAAGAACTCAGTCGCACATAGAAGATGGTAGTTAACTCAACGACACCTTCTCCACACGGATTTGACAAAAATAACTTATTTAAGAATTAGACAGGAATTAGTGTTAATTGATTATTAATTATCTCTTCATGTATATATTGTCAAACTCTAACCGATTCATCACTTTGAATTTGTTTCTGCAGAAGGTTGCAACATGGCATCGGAAACGACAAACTCTTTTTTAAAAGACGCATAGCTTAATCCAAAGTTAGTTCAAATATAATTTTGTAAAGATCATTAACCTCAAACGTCTCGTTAAAATTTATGTCCTCAATTAATTTGCAATTAGCAGGACATGATAATTTTCTTGTTAATTGTAAATTTAATTAAATGATTAACTTAAATACTTAACATTAAATTAGAAATAAAAAGTGTTAATATACTTTGATTTAAGATTTTAGCCGATAGTGTCGTTGTTATAGAGGAATTGCAAGTATAAATTAAAGTTCACGATTTGATAATAACACTCCATATATTCATTCTGTTTATAATTAAATGATTTACAACAAAACTACAGTTACATAGATAAGAAAATAAGATAAATATGTAAACACATGAGATAGCAATTTACTAAATTATTATTTATCAAATTTTAAATAATTTACATCATTTAATTCCTGGTAAAGTTATGACACACATTTTAAAATAAATTGATCAAAATTAAAACACTACAATTTTAAATGTGTTGCTCAAAAGATGAAACCTACACTTAATCCACACCTTGATCATGATAAACTGACAATTTCATTCAAACCTCATTCCCATAGACCAAGCTTAACAAAAGCACATTTTACGGTACTCGGAGATACATCGGCCGTTCATCACCGGTATCCTTTCTTCATTAACAATAAACATAATAAGACAAGAAAATGCGAATAGACGTTTGGAATTTACAAAAAAATCTATATAGCATCTTCAGGTGCCCACACCTTATCCAGTTAAATGAACTTAACCACAGTGAGGATTCTACGCAAACGACAATTAATAAACGTAAATGTATTTATAGCCGAGTTAGCTCGTCTACTTTGAGATAACTAAAACGATAACATTACAGTTCTTGTTGCTTTCATGTACCCAAACACTTCTCTTCTTGGCAGAGATGCAACGACAACTAAGGTTCACACGAGAAGCAAACGGCATGAAATTAATGTATTCGTATTTGCCGGCTCCTTTGAAAAGAAAGATCATCTTAAAGCTTACTTAAAGAAATACAGATCACGATATTAATCAGTACTTACGGCAAAAAGAAAGCGAAAGGCTGCTATGACATCCACAACACGCTCAAAGATATCTTTATTGTACTTTATTATCAAACAGGATAATCGATTGGGTGGGGAAAATGACATTTTCATTAGAGGTTACCTTAGCTTAAAACGACGAGTGCTTTAATGCTCGTTTCTATCTTGATGACTTGAAATGAGTTATATACGGGTTCGTTTAAACCGTTTAAAGTTGTATATAAAAGTCCTTTAACGGGAGAGAAATCGTATTATATTATAGATTGGTCATCTAGTTGAAGTAGCATATATAAGCTGCTTGTTAGTTCACTAAGTTTAATGTTGAGAAATTGAATTAGTCATCTAATCACTTACTTCATTCTTTAATTAAGCAAGAAATTATTAAATTTACTTTAATTTATGTCATCTAGAATACAATTTTGTTATTCTTTTTTTACAAAGAACAACGAAGAATTATCTGTTTGTTTCATTGTATGTACATAAAAAACTGTGGATTGTGGTTGCGATGTGTATAATCTCATAATAATACGTGATTAATTTCGGAATAAAAAACATGTTCGCAACGAAATCGAATCAAAGTTAATTTATTGAAATTATCAACACGAAAAGTGATTACAATTTTTTTTAATGTGTGTATTTGATATAATAATTTATAATAAGTGTTACATTTGGATTAGTTTATCAGTTTAGCCAATGATTAATTTATAAGAATCGCGAATTATCAAGCCAGTTTTTAAATAAAACATTGTAAAAACCACGATAAAATATTTTCGTAACTACTGAAAGAAATAAACATGAATGACGGGGCGCTATCTGGTTATTTCTAATTTTGGAGCGGAGATATTTCAGATTACGAGTCCACGTGAACAGTTTTATTCATTAGTTTCATTCAAGCGACTGTAACTGTGTGAATAACGATATTTCTTGGAGATCGTATAATGAACGTTTTTTTATTTCTGTCGACTATGAATAATAAGTAATAACTTACCGGTAACGTTTTTCAGTACTATTTTTGAAAAGGATTGATTTTGAAAAAATCTTCACAATTTCATGAAACTGTTAAAGTACTTTGAATGTTAGTCACTGAAATGTTTGAAGTCGATTGCCGTGGTCTTATGATGATCGCGACACACACGTGTTCGCACTTGTTCTGGAGCGGGATTCGTTCGCTTCGACGTCGGACCTGTTGCCAGAGCAGCTGGTGCCCGAACACTGAATCAGTTGACAGTACAACGGGTTTATGTGGGAACAGAGAGGATAACAGCGCGACCACTGTAACGCACCGAGAAGGGGACTTTTTCCTTTCCTCGTCGTCGCCGCCAACCCGCCGAAGAGAGAAGAACTAGATGAGATGATGGGCATAGTCAGAGGTGGTAGGAGGAATAACAATTAGGGTTGGCATACTTGAGGCGCATGTTTTCTGCGTCGCCCGCGGAATCTCCATTAAATCTACAACTTTGAGATGATGCGTCGTCTACACTCACTCTATCTAAAGTATCAACAAACAAACCTGTCATGCTTACATGAAAGATCATTTTCTCTTTCAGCTTTAGAACGTTTCAGTTTGTGAATAAGGAAATATCAACCGAGTTATTCAAAGAATTTTAAATGCAAAATCGTATATTATATAGGATGATCTAGTTACATAAATTTCGCCAACAACATATTTTTGAAGGCGCAATTTGAAATGATTCTTTAGTAAATATTTTATAGAACAATGTAATTCCACTAGATTATGTATTTCAGAATTATACTAAAATAATGATCATATTGAAGTGTAGGTATACTTAGTAATTCTTTTATATGCGGAACACCTTTTTCAATATTTGAGCATATTCATTTAGATTACACGATTACAGGCATACAATAATTTTGATTACAAACAATTTTTGACATTTTCTATTTTTGCAATGTTTTATATTCTTTTCATGCTCACATAAAAAATTTTAGATCCAAGCAAAACAATTTTGGCGATATAAAGCCTTTGCAAAACTACCCAATGCCTGTACTATTAAGTTATGTTGCATTTTATGTGGGATAGTGCAAGTGCACAATAGTTTCGTAACTATGGTTACTGCCTTAAAAAAAGGAGCCCTAGCCTGGTACACTGATGCTTCAAAGACAGTTAGATCCGGAGTAGGTATCAGTGGACCAAATAGCCACAGCATAAACTGCCCCTCAGCTCGGACATAACAATTTTCCAAGCAGAAGCTCTTGCTATAAACTTCTGCACCGCTTTGAACCTACAGAAGGGACAGAAAGATGCATCCATAAACATCTCTTCCACATCCGACAAGCTGAGGATCAAACTTGTCGACTTTGCAACAACGAGTCAGAAACAGCAGAACATATACTTGTGCAATTGCGTCGCCAGAAGCCGTCTAAGACACAAAATTTTCGACATATACCGACATAAAGGTTCAAGACCTCAGGGCAATACTAAGGTTCATCAAGGACTTAGATTTGCCCTAAACTTTTGGAGGGCTAAAGTTACACTAGATCTTATAGGTCGCGGTAACCAGGGGCCGCTCCCCTCAGCCCGGCAGCAATAATAATAATAATAATGGTTACAGCATTCATATATTGCGAGTTATATGAATTTCCCGGTATACAACTCTTAATGGGGTGCTCACTCCTTTCTAGTGAATTTACTCAAATAAAAAATAGTGTTATATGTATACCTCAATTTCCACAAACAAATTTTAAATTTTTCTGAATTTGATACTGGAAAGGCATTCATTGTAAGTGTGTCGCTATGTTGATTTGAAAGCTCCAAAATGATAGTACAAAAATGTGAGCTTCAATAAGTGTCTCTGGTATATTAACACTAGGAGGGCATTATGTTCTTAAATTGAATAGTCAGAGTTAAAAGTAAAGCATAACTAGTACCTAACGATTTAATATTAACTTGGAATTAGAATTAACTTGGAAACAATGTATAAGAATGTTTTCTTTATGAATAGGTGAGGATAGTCAGTTATCAATGATATTTAACCCTTTTAATAATACAGTTTAGAAAACAACCTCGACGGGCTTAATAACAAATAGCTTTATAATAAAAGCACGGCATAATTTTATTTTTCCTTAAAAAAACTTATGTTTTTTGTGCGGCTGGGTTTCTCTTATACAGAGTCGTTGCAGCATTCATTTGAAGGCTTCTCATCTGCTATAACATTGCTTCTCAAACTACGTTATTTCCTAGTGAAAGCTTTTTCCATGTTCATCGTTAACTGGGCCGATAGTAACTTCCGGAAAAAAGCTGAAATGAAATAGCTGTACTGCTTTCAATAAGTTATAATCTAATGTCAGCATGTGTATAACCTAATTGTCTAAAAGATTCCACTGTTTGAATCTCGATCCTAATATTTAATAGACATCTTTGCCCTATATCGACGCGCCAAATATAAAATCTTTTGGATCTCTAGTTTCCCTATAAAATCCCATGTCCCTTTTCTTGATATGATATCCAAATACAACTATGTTTTCTTTTGCATACTAGATGTACCTAACATGAATCATTATTTGAGATATCGGCGAATATTTTAATGTTGCGTAGTAAAATCTAATTATGTCAGATTAATTCATAGTTCCACCTTCCACCCACCCCTTGTGATCACTACTAACATATCGTCCAAATAATAAGATTAAGTTAACCGTTTCTGCACCATATCTAGATCATCGCTATTCCCAATAAGAAGTTTTATGTCATTACTCTGTATGTAAATTCTACCATCTTTTGTCCAACATTGATTATTGCAATGTATTTACTGTACATGGCAATTTACTATTAGCTTGTAATTCCTAGCAGCAAAATACGCATGAACCTACTTTTTTGCTTATTTCTAATTTATTCCGGTCACCCATATTTGTAACGATATTTAAGGGTTATTTAAGGATACTTGTTATTTTCCGCAATACGTCCTCAATGAAAACCACTGTCTATTTCCTCAAAAGTGACCGTGACTTAAGTCTATCTACCACAAGTATCTTATCTTAAATATATGCGTTGTTTTCTTCGCCAATTTCGAAATTACGAATATTTATCATAACGTGTCACGGATGGAAATAAAATAAACCTAATCAAATAATTGATTTATTTATGAATGGAAAAAGTTTTATGTTCATACCATTTTGGTATTGTTATACGGTATTGTCACAGGGTTGTCATCGATTTGCTGTGTTGTTTGGAAATAAATATGGCGCTTTAGATTTATGTACAACACAGTTGTCCAATGTTAAAAGAACAATATGAACATGGATTTATCCATAATAACAAATCAGACATGAATTACAATGGACCACCAATCAACGTTTTTTAAGTAAAGGAAATAGAACTTACTTATTGTTAAATCTATTTAAAATTTCCGTTTTTGAGATTAGGCAGTTAGGTATTATAAGATAACGAATATATGTTTATTGAAATATTAACGGTATTATATCATTCATGGTTATCACAATTATGTTATTATGAATTGTATTAATTATGAATTGTAAACTAAAATATTATTATTGTGTGTTCATTATTTTTACTGCGTATTTAAGTACGTATTGTATAAGTTAATTAATTGTGGCAAGATGTAATGATTAAAAATTGTTTTTCCAACAATAACAATTTTTCCAACAATAACAATTTCTAAAATTAAAAACAACGTCACATGAATATGTTGCTTCGCCAACAAACAAAAGATTATTTATGAATAGCGAAGGATTTTTGTTGAGTGTAACTAAATCGTGCAAACTCTAGTTTCAAAATATTCTTGACAGAGTTAAAGTGGTAAAGATGCAGCTTCTCTATTTTTAGTATTCGCAGAATGGATGACTTGCTCAATCCAGTTATAGCTAGCAATCAACTTGTACACCAGGATTCTCCTTAACACGTACTAGAAAGTTACTCCCATCAGGAAAGGTAATGACTTGTATTGCGTTTTGGATGAAATTAACCAGTTTCATCTAACCTGTCATACAAATTTTTAAATTACAGGGCTGCCGTGTGTTCGTGTATTTTAATAGGTATCTTCGGTACGCATTTTGTTCCGTAAACGTTTCTTGAGTGTAAATTACGTACTTCAGTGTTAGAAAAAAGTGTGTAATTATACCCCGATTATTACAAACTAATAGACAACAATAATAATTATTGTTGTTTAATTATTAAACTTTTTTAGCCACAATAACATTGAAATATTATTATAAATATCATTACAATCTTAAAATGAAATGTGAGAAAAAGATATGTTAAACCTCTGTTGCCGGAAGGATTGTAATGTAGCTAGCTAGAAAAACTAATCATGACACCAAATGACATTAGAGTTTTTTCAAAACACCTAAAGCACATACAAGTCAATAATAAACATGTCAGATTTGAGGTCTTTACAATCGAATATCTTCTTTACAGACACGACCCTCGAATTAGCTTGATTACAAAATGTAAGTGACACATTTAAATTTTTTCATGTTGACCTAAATAAATCATCTCACATTATAAGAAAACCTTTGACAGTAATTCCACTTGCAATTTAAAGACTATTATTTGAAAAAGCTCAGCCATCAATGCGTCGCTATCCTTAATACTCCAGGAAGATCATAAAAGAACAGATAAATATGCCGGGAATAGGTTAATTACCCCAATTCCACTTATTCGAGAATTAGATACAAAAAATTTAGATATACATAGTTCTTTGTTTGCTATAACAAATATTGCATAAAGGAGAAGATTTAGTATTTACAGTACTGAAAACATTAATACAAGGTTAATATAAAAAAGGGTAGAAGAAGGATTAAATCAATTGAGTCAAAATATCTAACAATCATGTAAAACATTTTTTTTGACAAGATCATTTACGATTTCCTTTATTACATAATATTATAGGTAGGTACCATGTTATTAGCCAAGATCTTAATGCAGGATAAGCAAAACGTTTATTTGCATCCGGAAACGTTTTCATAATTACAGTTAATAAACTTTAACTTCCTTTCTTGAGGTTCTGGTACGGAAGTGTAAATTAACGGAAGGATACTAAATTACAAAATTCAACCTAAATATTTTTAAAGTCATCATTTTATATGAATATTTACGTAATTAGTAAATAACATACATTGTAATGCTACTTCATGTTATATTCAAGGAGTGATTGGTTAGAAAAACTTTAGTGGAGTAAGATTAAACGGTTTCCTGGGAGATTGCTTTTGATAAATTGTACAAGGGCATCATTGTCCCATGTTAAACTAACCGTGAAAAACATAGCATTGAACGTGTTGCGATCGTTGGTACACTGACTAGCGTTGTTAGAACAAGGC